ATGACTGAAATACACTGCTGAGGGGGAGCAGCGGGCGAGGCAGGAGAGGTCTGCTGTGCCATGTGGGTCATCTCCCTGGCCGGGGATAGAACTCCTGCTGTGGTGGCTGCTGGCTGTGGAAAGCTTCATAGGTTGCTTCTTATCCCCTTGCACCACCAGGGAGGCCCAGCTTACTTTATTTAATAGTGCTAACTCATATATTTATTTAAATGCCTGCTTTGTTATATCGCATAGGTGCATATTAATCAAATTATCATAATTGTGTAACTTATGAATAATAATATTTTATGCATGTGTTCTGAAGATAAAGGAAGTACTCTGAGAATAATAAAGTCATTGGACTTAAGTGATCTTTTAGAGATTTAAAGGATGACTAGTAACCAGATAAAAGGTGGAGTACAAGTCATGGTTTAGGATTCAAGTTAGCAGACACAGCTTATTATACAAAGGAGCAGTGGCAGAAGGAAGTGCAGCATAACTAATAAATAAAAAGAAATAGCGTGATTGCAGTGGTGGGAGTTAAAGGTGAGACCAGACAACAGAGATAGGTAGGGGTTTGAGTTACTCAGATCTGAAGGTTTTGAATTGGGTGACTACTGACGAACCCTTTCTTCATGTTTTGAAAAGAATGCTTGTTTAATATCTGTCTTCCTGGATAGACTGTAGATATTACAAGTAGAAACAGGAACTATTGCTCTCACCGAGTACAGTGCAAATAGGTTCTCAGTAAATACTCTGTCACCATTTAATAGCTCAGTGGCTGGCATGCAGTAGTGCTCAGGAATGTTTATTATGGTTTTTGCTGCTTGAGATTGACCTTTGGTGTGGAGAATATCTGTGGTGGAGTTAGAAGTTTCCATGTAGTCCAACAACATTTATTGGAGACCTGTGATACACTGAAGGAATCAGCAGCTAAATTTATTATAATTTATTAGGATTTTTTTTTCACTTACGCCCCAAAGATGTATAGAGGAAAAAGGTGTTAGAGAATTCTGTTAATAAATCAGATCAGACTACATTGAGGGAACATAGTAGGTGCTCCTGTTTTACTGTCTGTTCATTTTCATTGATCAGAGCTTGTTACCTGTTAACATTGCTTTTGTAGAACCATTTTTTTCTAGAGTTTGCAGATAAAATTTCCTTTCCACACAGTTCATTTGAAGTAGTTTCCACCTCATTACTTAGTTGTATTAGTGTATTTAATATAAAGTGGAGTACCTTGCTATTTTTTCATCCCAAAGACTAAAAATTGCTATGATAAATATTTCTTCTGAAAATACACATTCATTTGCAGTACTGTTTTAGCTTTAACATTTTACTATTTTGCAGTGTTTAATTTGTACCTGATATGTTCTTTCTGAAAAGGAGTAGTATGAACCTATATCAACAACTTCTTGGCCCTTTTCCCCCTCCTCTTTAGTGGGGAATAGTAACCAGAACCATGATGTAATACACACTTGCTTTTGTGCACATTAATGAGGTGCCTTATTCAGGTGGACAAATTGCAGGAAGGTTCCCCTGCTTCTGAAACATCCTGTGTTAAGGTGTACTGCCTGGAGAGTGGTGCATTGGCCACGTCTCAGTTCTATTTGTGCCTTCCACTGGGTGCCTTTGACCCATGAAAAAATACATAGTTTTCCATAGTGGCTCTAAAAAGTAACTCAGTATAAATTAGATATTGTTCATAGTCAACCAGACTCTAAATAATTTTTTATAAACACAGAAAATCTATTTTTAAAAAATAGAACAGTTGTTTCATTTATATGTGTTAAATGCAACCTTCATTTATTTTTATTGAGGTAACATTGCTTTACAACACTATTTATGATTTAGGCAAATAGGTTCACACCTCAGATATGTGTCACCACACCACACCCACTCAAAAGCACCCATAGTCCTTTTCCGTAGACCTTTGGAACCCCTCCTCACATTTTTCCTACCCTCTCTCTCTTCCCCTTCTAGTAGACTCTTTCTGTGGTGATATTTCTAGGATTTGTTTTAGTTTAGTCTTGTCAGGTTTTTTTTTGTTTGTTTTGTTTCTCTGTATTCCACATATGAGTGACATCTGGTATTTGTATTTTGCCTTCTGAGTTATTTCACTTAACATAATCTCCTTCAGTTCCATCCATGTTGCAAATGGCCACAGGTCATCTTTTTTTTTTTTTTTTAAATAGCTGAGTAGAATTCCATCGTGTGTGTATGTGTGTGTGTGTCTGTGTGTCTGTGTGTGTCTGTGTATTCACACCACATCTTAATCCACTACTCTCATTGGGCACTTTGGTTATGTTTCCATGACTTGGCTATGTATCCCTTAGAATTATAATTTGCAACATAGCCCTTTGAATTAGTGAAACCTTAATTTAAAATACTAATATGGGCCTCCCCTGGTGGCGCAGCAGTTGAGCACTGGGTTGTGAAGCTGCCCGCAGCCTCTGTAGCACTGGTTCGATCCCCGGCCACCTGGAAAGGTTCCCACATGGCACGACAGACCTCTCCTGCTGTGCCCGCTGCTCCCCTTAGCAGTGTATTTCATCGGTCTGCCTGCTCTGTTCCCCGCTCTGGCTCTGGTGAATTCTCTCACCCTCCTGCACTTCTGACTGTACTCAGTGCTTGTATAAATAAATAAACCTTTAAAAAAATACTTAAATATTTAGTTCATTTTCAAAGTTTTTGAAACTTCACTCAGAGTTTATGGGGGGAAGTTGTAGTTTTTTAGGAAAAAATTTTGTTTTGTCAAGTAAAGCTAAGGTTCTTTATTATTTTTTTAAAGATTTTTTATTTATGCATATAAGAACTAGGGTACAGGCAGGAGGTATGTGGGGGGGGATGAGAGGATTCACTAGAGACAGAGTGGGGAGCAGAACAGGCAGATCTATTAAAATACACTGCTAAGGGAGGGGGAAGCAGGGAGCAAGGGAGCAGGGAGCAAGACATGAAGCAAGACATGGTTAGCACCCTGGCTGGGTATTGAACTTAGACCATAATGGTGAAAGCTCTGAGACTTAACCCTTGTGCCACCAGGGAGGGCCTCTTTACTATTTTAAATGTGCTTAGGTTTGAGTGTCTAGAAATAAATAACTGAATATCCACACATGCACATATAGCTATTTGATTTTTTATCATGGATTTTTTTTTTAAATGTATACAAAATAAAGTGACGATGCCTCACTTATTTCACTTCAGTAGTGGTCAGTGTATTATTGCTTTATCTGTTTTTTCCTCCTCAAATCTCAGATTATTTTGAAGCAAATTCTCAAATGTGTTATGTTTTCAATCTGTAAACTCTAGAATCTATTCTGGAAGGTAAAGATTCTTTTAAAAAATTTAAATAACATTAGCACAATTATCACACCTAAACTATTAAATATTAAGGAGATTATCAACCAGTCAGTATTCAGGTTTTTAATTGTTTCATAAATGCATTTACAAGTTGGGTTGTTTGAATCAGAAAGCAAACTATATGTATACAATATAATTTGTCAACGTGTCTCTTGTGTTACTTTTAATCTATTGCTTCCTTTTCACCTTTTTTCCTTGCATTTTATTTGTTGAAAAAAGGGGTCATCTGACAACTTCCTTGATTTTGCTGATTATATCTCTCAAAAGGAGTTTTTGTTTATCAATGTATGATACTACTTCTCCTTAGACTATAAACAAATTTTGTAAAATGGAAAAATTAATGATTAATTTGGTTATCGAAGAATGAAGGTTTCACAGATTATGTAAACATGAAGGGATGATTTGAAATCCTGGCTAGTTGATGTGACCAGAAACCGATACCATGATATCAGGTTTTGAGAAAGGAAGAAAAAAAGCTTTATTGCGAATTAGCTGGCAAACTCAAATCTACCTCCCTAAGAATAGGGGTGAGGTTAAATGGATTTGAAAACAAAGGAATTATATTATTGGCTAAGGAGTGAGCTAAGGGCTAAGCAATTTGGGTTGGCTAAAGTACACTGGCTAGTTACAGGGCAGTTCATACATGAAGTAAGAAGAGGCTTTTCTTCAGACAACTGGCGTTTTGAATTTCTTTTTTTTTTTAAGATTTATTTATTTATACAAGAACTAAGGTACAGGCCAGAGGTACAGGAGTGTGGGAGGATTCACCAGAGACAGAGCAGGTAGCAGAACAGGCAGATGACCGAAAACACTGCTGAGGGGAGCAGCGGGTGAGACAGTAGAGGTCTTCCACACCATGTGGGAATCTCCCTGGCCGGCTGGGAATTGAACCCGCACTGCAGAGGCTGTGGACAGCTTCACAGTGCTGCACTCAACCTGCTGCGCCACTGGGGAGGCCCGAGTTTCGAATTTCTGTTGGTGGGCCCCTTGCTCCTGGGTAGTCTCTCTCCTCTGGGGGTGTGTGTATCTTCCAATTCTTAGCTAACCTTGAAACTCAGCTAAAGGTTAGTAGATAAACCTCCAGGCTCTACTTTGTCCACAAAAGCCAATCTCTGGGAAAAGTTTAGATACTTTTTTTTTTCCTTTTGTGTTTTAGGGCCTGAAAGCAATTTAACCATTTGACTTCTGTTACAGACTCAGGAAATAGGTGGATTTTTAAAACTTCCATGTTTATAGCTCTTTATTATTATTTTTTAAAGATTTATTTATTTATGCAGGAACCGGGGTACAGGCCAGATGTGTGGGAGGGTAAGAGGATTCACCAGAAACAGAGTGGGGAACAGAACAGGCAGACTGACTGAAATACACTGCTGAGGGGAGCAGCGGGCGAGACACAAGAGGTCTGCCACGCCATGTGGGTATCTTACCTGCTGGCTGGGATCGAACCCATACTGCAGAGGCTGTGGACAGCTTCACAGCGCTGTGCTCACTGCCTGCGCCACCAGAGCTGCCCTCTTTGATTATTTTGATAGCATTATATAATTTGTTGCCATCTTAAAATTGTGAACCACTGCAGTGTAAAATTGCAGCAAGAAAAGATATACTAGGTTGATTTTGGTTAAAGTAAAATTTTATTAACTTCCTTTTCATTTGCAAAATAGATATCAGGTGATCAGCACTCCAACAGATTTTTTTATGGTAATGGAATATGTGTCCGGTGGTGAATTATTTGACTATATCTGTAAACATGGACGGGTGAGTAACATCTATCTAGTACAATAGACATGCTAAAATAGAGAAAAGTAGTGAGAAATAGCAAGCCACATAGCTGTCTTATTGGGGTGCTTCTCTGATAATTGCCAGCTAAATATACAGAATATTCAACATGTTTTCTTTCTTTTAAAATACACTTTTTGAAAACATTGATATTAGGAAATATGAAATTCATTCCACTTAATTACCAAATATGCCTATTCTTTTTAAAAATATCTGTTCCATAAAATCATGTTGAAGCTTCATTTATACCATTTTCTTAACATTTTGACATAAACTTTTTAGATTCGTTTTACTTGTAAATTCTCTAAACCATTGTGCACATTTAATATTGTTGGCCTAGCAAAGAAAGAAAAACCTTTTGGTATGGTGAGTTATAATGGATGTTGTTGATTTGTCTGACGTTGAGAATTTTAGCACAATTTTGATTAGCTCACTTATTTTGCTGATGGTGAAATTAAAACTCTTGCTATGTAGATGACTGAACTATTCTTAAAGCAGCTTCTTTTATATTTAATAGGTTGAAGAGATGGAAGCCAGGCGACTCTTCCAGCAGATCCTGTCTGCTGTAGATTACTGTCATAGGCATATGGTGGTTCATCGAGATCTGAAACCAGAGAATGTGCTGCTGGATGCACACATGAATGCCAAGATAGCTGATTTTGGTATGCAATTCCAGGGTGGTTTAGAAATAGACTAGCTGCCTTCTAGAGTGTATGAGTCACAATTCTTAAAGAACTAATAACTTTAGTTTCAACATTGTAAATCAATCCTGTGCCATGAAAAGTGATTAGTTTCAAGGTCTCTTCACTCACTTGGTTCTACTTTTCCAATACATTAAAAAAAATTACAGATACTTCTAGAGAAGTTAGAGGGTGAAACTATTCAATCTCCATTCCCTCCTAAGTAAATGATATTTAACTGGTTTTTGCTTGCTTGTTTTTTGTGAGAGCCACTGACTCCTTAGAAAATTGAATGAAAATATAGGCACTTTCCCTGATGAGTGCTATTCAGTGGAGGCATATGAAAGCTTGCATGCAGTTTTGGAATTTTATAATTTCTCAGAATTGATCAAGGGGAATGTCAACAGATCTCAGACAACTTAGTTAAAGCATAAGAGTTTTTGTCAGAGATAAGAGAATATGTGAAATGACAATTTTTATGCACCACTTTCTGTGGCAAGCATACCTGGAAAGAGTGCCATGGTAGAGTGCTTGGGGAAAGGACTAGTGAACAACAAATTATTGAAAGAGTTGGGAAGATGTCAGAGTTAAACATTGCTTATTTAAAAGTTTTGTCAATACCTTCTCTTAAAAACCAGGAAACCAGTGTCACTGTCTTCCTTCTCTAAATCACAAAACTCATTTAAGTACTAGGTTCAACTAGATTTTTTTGTTCAGTAGATACCATTTTTTATGTTAAATCAGAACTTTCCAAATGAAAAACTTTTGAAGCATCTATAAATTGGAGTCTGGTTTCTACTTAGAGATATTTGAGACTTTTGAAAGTATAGTATAAAAAAACAGTAGCCTCTATGTTAGTCTTTCAGCAGTAAAAGTGGGTAAATAATATTTTTATGCTTTTATGTTGGGAAACTTAATTAGAAAACCTCATTTGTGATGCAAATCAACATTTTTTTCTCTAGAAAAGAAATAGTCTAATCATGCATAAGATATATTTTAAGCTGTTTTTTAGTCTAGTGTAAGTAAGCACTCTGAAATGGTCTTTAGTCTAACCAGTGCTTTTCACTGCTTCTTTTCAATAAATGAAATAAATATATGTATGGAGCAATAAAGACTTGACATTTTTCTTGTGCATTTACTACATCTTCTTTTATAAATATCAAGCACAGAGGATAAACATTACTCTTATTTTCAGGATTATCTAATATGATGTCAGATGGTGAATTTCTGCGAACTAGTTGTGGATCTCCAAATTATGCAGCACCTGAAGTCATCTCCGGCAGGTAATCATATATTGGTGAAGAGAAAGCATTTTGCAATTTTTTGTTCATTCTGGTAACATAACTGCATTATATTCTCTTTAGAAGATGAGATTTTAGCACACTAGGAACAAATTGTCCCTTTAATTTTTCCCTTATTGAATAGAGAATCATTATGTTAAATAACTAAAATATATAATTTAGGTTTTGCTTTAAATGTATTAGAATTTTCCCATTCAAAATGACTGAAACATACACTGCTTTTTTATTTTAGAAAAATGCAGTAAACAGTAAGCATTTGCTAGATTTAAGCTATTGTTATTTACTTACCACACACCGTCCTTTAATATTTTACAAATTCTTATAAAGTATACAGAATATTTTAATGTTGCCAATATTCTATAAAATATGTTCCTGATTAAAAAAGTCTGTTATATATGAGCTTGTTTTCTTGTAGTTTTAAGGTTAGAAAAGCTATGTAGCTTATATGCTATAGTATTATTTTTTCCAAATTTATCGTCTTCTACTTTGTTGTATTCATCAAAAAAAAAGTAGGAAGTTTCATATTTTTAACTAGTCATTTAAGCTCAGTTAAACAAATTTATGATAAGGAAAAACACCATTTTTCTTGTTCATTTACCTACATCTCCTTTTACAAATTGAATAGTAATTGGCTAGACCAATTTTTCTCTCTGGAGAAAAGCAATTCAGAACTGGGGAGTTACCATGGACTTCATTAAAGACCTTGAAAATTAATCCATAACCAAATTTATGTTATGCATTTGTCAAAACAGTACATACTGATGAGAAAAAGTGATAAATGCATTTCAGGCTTGTATTGTCATCCTTTGTTGTAGATTGTATGCAGGTCCTGAAGTTGATATCTGGAGCTGTGGCGTTATCTTGTATGCTCTTCTTTGTGGCACCCTCCCATTTGATGATGAACATGTGCCTACATTATTTAAGAAGATCCGTGGGGGTGTTTTTTATATCCCAGAATATCTCAATCGTTCTGTTGCCACTCTCCTGATGCACATGTTACAGGTTGATCCCCTGAAACGAGCAACTATCAAAGACATAAGGTGATTATTATTTTTGTTACTGTTATGTGCATTTTCTAGTATTAGTGCCACCAATTGAATGCCTAAATTTATGTGGGGCTCTATACCTTTTATAATAATTTTACTTATTATAAACATTTGACCATGTCACTCATCTTTTAAATATTTCATATTCTTTCCCAAACTTTTTAGCTTAGGAAACAAAGTGTATGAAGTCCTTCATAATGAGGCTCCAGGCTCTACCTCTTTGTCCTGAAATCACACTTCCTGCATTCACTACACACCTCCCAGTTAGTACTTCAGCCACTTTTCTTTGTTACTCAGACATATCATATATTGCGTGCCTCCATGTGTTTGTTACTCTCTTCCCCTCAGATGCCTGTTCTCTATCTTTTTGATGTGATTAATTTTCATTCATCCTTTAAAATTCTGCTCACATATTACCTTCCTTATGAAATGACTTCTGTTCCCTAAGTCACTGTTAGTTGCTTCCATTTCTACAGTTTCCACCTTTTGTTCATCCTTTTATTTCATTGTCCTATAGTATCTAGCTATTTCTCAGTGTGTGTTTTCTCCTGTCTTAAATTATAACTATGTATGGGTAGGGAAAGTGTCTTACTCATCTTTGTACCTTCAGTGCTGCAAGGCTAGGATCTAGTATGTCTCAGGAAGCATTTGAATGCATTTCAACTAGAAAAACAGGATGAGACATATCTTTTACATATGGTTAATGGAATAAAGCATAAAAGTTTTGCTCCATTTTTTAAATCCAAAAATAGGTGCCAGTGGGTTGGCTGTGAAGGATTTCATGCTATGTAAGAAACTTTGGAAATGGGAATATGACCTTTATGTACTACACCCAAGCCATGGTGATTCATTGCTTTTTTACTTAAAATGTTACGTTTCTTAGATTTTTTTTGTTGTTCTTATCTAACATTTCATCAGATATTTATTTACAAACACAATCTTTGAGTTCTTTCTAGAATCCTCCTCCTTTTGTGAATAAGCCAGGTGACCGTAGTGTGACGCTTGGAATATATAAATGATGGACTGGTTGGAGGATGGCAGTTGTTCATGTGACCGCTGCTGATCTCTCCTTCAAGCTAGGACTGATTCTTTTTGCATTCATATTGTTTTCTTCCCCTGGCTTTTCTTCAGTGTTCCAGGCCTCATACACAAAATGTGAAAGTGTAAATTAGCACCAGTTTTAGTTATGGAAATGAACTTGGCAGGAAAAATCCTTTTGTGCTCACAGTTCTTTAGAATAAACAGTTCATTTAATTAGCCTCTCTGTAGAAAGAAAATTAGATATGCTGATATATATCTTTGCACCTGTTTGCATCAGCACATATATTTAGAATAGTGAAAGTATACAGATTATTTTATTTTAAAATGTTTCTGTAGTTACAGGCTACAGACGAAGAATAAAAATAAAAGTGTATTATGATGAGTTAATTTGTACAAGAGTAGGCTGTACAGATAGTGGCGTTCACCGCTGTACTTTACATAAGTAATATAATAACTGCAATTTGTAGTTTTCATTGTTATGCAATTTATCCATGTTTAACTTTTCATGTTTGGGAATTCTTGGTTTGATAATATACAGTTCAACAGGGAGTCACTAACTGTTGAACAATTATTCTATACCCAGCATTTTACGAGGTACCTGACAGATGGCATTGACTCTTCGTATGTGGCTGCTACTATTCTTGTTTAACAAGCCATGAAAGAGAAGCTTAGGAGGTTTTCTTATGATTTTTTTTTTTTTAATATGTCTGCTTTCTCGTCTTAAGTCTTAAATTAGGGACCAACTATTAATTCATAAAATATACACCTCATGCATATTAAATGTTGACTAAATCTGTTTGTTGAAAATTACACAGCTAATAAGAGACAGAAATAGACTTAATTCAGAAATTCCTGAATTCAGAACCTATACTATTTCCACTAAATCAGATTGTTATGTCAGTTCTGTGATATCTGTTCTTCCTCCAGTATACCATAATATATTTTTCTTATGCTACCACATTTGTCCTATAGCTTTTTTTCTGTATGGTTCTTATAAGGTGGTAAGCTATTGGAAGTTACAAAATACAGCTCTTTCTTTAATTGTTCATGTAGTCGTTTTTTGCTTTTATTTAATATTTGTTATGCATCTACTCTCCAAGGCCCTATGCTAGGTGATAGAAATACAGTGGTAGACTAGTCAGACATTGACTTCATGAAAACCAGATCTTTGCATTCTCCCAAGTGTCTTAAGCTTGCTTTCACTGTTAATGTTATGATTAAAAGCCAAGAGTCTAAGTCCCGCTAAGTATGAATCCTAATTCTTCTGTTTATTGGCTTACCAGCACTTCCCTTTTAGTTACATCAAATATAGTGGGTTGTTTGGGAATATGGTCTTAGTTAAACCATGAGTATTTATTATTTTTGTCATCAGAAGACAGGTGAATATATCAAACTGCAAATATTCAACCTAATTAAAGCTTTTAGTTGGTTGATGATAAAGTTGAGAGCTACAAAAAAGACCAAGAAGGCAACATTTTTAAAATACTTAAGGCCTGAAATGATACCAGAATGGAAAAATAGCTTCTCACTGTTATTTCCAGTGCAGTGGCCCTGTGTCATCTGTAATGAGAACAATGGCAGTAAGACCTTCAAAAATGTCCCTAGAATTACTTTGCTTAATATAAGCAAACTGAACATCCTGAAATTTGCTCCTCGTGTTCATTTGGCATGTTGATGCATTTGGACTGAAAGTGCTTTCGGCAAGTTAGATAATCTGTACGGCACTTGGCATAACACTGTCTCTGTCAAGATTAACTGCAACCTTCCCATGCACAAGATACTTAGGACAGACCTCAGCAGAATTTTGAAAAGTGAAGAGGCCTCCAAGTACCATGCCAGAAGATTCATTGCAGAGTCCTGAAGAGGAATCCACTGCAGAACCTGAGAGTCATGTTGTCACCAAACCCATACACAAAGACCGAGCATGGGAACACCAGTCTTGGCCAGGCCAAGAATCACAAACTCTAGATGGATAAGGCAGCAGCAGTGCTAAGGAGCCAAATCAGATGGGAAAGAGGTTCCCTGTGGCAGGGAAGAAAGGAGAAAAGGCTATTGGCGTGAAGAAACCAAAGAAGTTTTTGTTTAAAACAGGACTGCAGATAACAGGAACCCAGCAGCTGGAAAGACGCCCACAGCAAAGAAACCCAATACAGGAAAAGAGAAGCTTGCTGCATAAACTTCAATTTGTTTATTCTATAAAGGGCGTATCATTTTGGATAGCTAATTTTGAATAAATACCTGATCATAAAGGCATAGGTTAAAAAAGGATTATGGTTCTTTATCTGAATTAGTAAATTATAAATCAAGTTTAGATTATTATATGTTGAATGTTTTTTAACATTCAATTGATATAAATCACATACCATCAAATTTCACCTTTAACATTTTCATCATTCCCAAAATATTACCCATTAGTAGTCATTTCCCATTTCCTCCTCCTCCTAAGCCCTAACAACTACTAATCTTTTGTGTCTTTGTGGATTTGGATTCTGGGCATTTCATATGAATGGAGTTGTAAAGTATGTGGTCTTTTGAGGCTGGCTTCTTTCACTTAGTATGTTTTCAGGGTTCTTTCTTAGTGTAGTATATCTGCTGATGCATGCAGATTCCATTTTTTGCTTGAAAAACCTATGGTTTATGGATATTTTAGTAGTTCTACTTTTTAGGTCTTTGAATAATGCTGTGAACATTCAGGTCCAAGTTTTGTAGGGTCATGTATTTTCATTTATCTTGGATATATGCCTTGAGTTTGTAATATGTTATTGCTCTTGTTTGTTGCATGATTTTTACTGAACTGTTTCCATAAAATTTGTATTGTTTACCCTGGGTGCCACTGAAGTCTCTGGTTAGCTAAATGGTCAGCTAATTATTAGGCATTTCCTTAAATGCCTTTAATAAGTCTTCTAGCCTTTGTCTAGGACTCTGTTGGCATGTTGGAACATGTCTTAAGTGTTTCAGTGAAAAGTTTGTAACTCTGCCTTAGTTTTTACTTCCTGCTTCACAGATCCTTAAAGTCAGCCAGTCATGAGAAATTAGTGCCTTTTCAGTTCTTTCTTGGGCATGCACACAATTCTGTACATGTGTGTGGCCTTGAGTCCCAAGAATATAGCAGACTGTTTCAAAGATCTCTGTGGGGCTGTTAGTCCTTAAATTTTTCCATTTGAATTTTTGGGTCAACAACATCTTTGTTTCAACTCTTGTTGTAGCTATAGGCACCTGGAAAGTTAGAAAGTTGCCAGTGACTGTTTCAGCAAATGTCCTACAGTGAGGGGTCTCTGAATTAGGTCAGATGAGATAATATTTTTGATGTGAGGTTGCCACGAAATTGCCATATATGTCAAATACTGGCAGTTTCTGGGTGTAGGGCTTTTGGAGAAGTCTCAAACTATCCTACTTCCCTACTTCCTTCCCTGGTGGTTGCCAATCTGCTGGTTTTCTGGGATTCTACAATTGTGAGACTCCTGGTTTTCAAAAATGGGGAAAGGGAGAGGGATATAGGCCAAGTTAGACTTTCACAGATCTCGCTGTTTGTACTGTTGTTCAGCCATTTTCCTTGACTCAACACTCCTCTGATTGTTGTGTTTGATTAATTTTTGGAGTTCTGAAAAAGTTGATTTTGATTATTTTTCTCTAGTAGTCTCTGCTCTTGTGGAAGAGTAAACATTTGGGATTCATTCATAGATGTACATTTTTCTATTTATCACTGATATTTCAAGAATGCTAGACATGTAACTTATTTTCTAAGAAAGAAGTCAGTTATTTTACTACTGAGCACTAGGTGCTTATTACTAGCATGGTATAGCAAATTCCTACAGAGCAGTGAATTCCTTTTTTTGTCTTCATGCATCTTGTGCCTAGTAATTATTCATAGATTCTGTATTTCTTGAACATTCACTACTGAACTGTAGATCTCATTTTCAGTGAACTCATTTTATTGGGGAGATTCAGAAAAACATCAACAACTATTAGAAAGTTAGAGTGTTATAGTAGATCTACTTGAATCTGTAGAATTTATCTTTGCATACATCTTGAGACCCTGGCACACTGTCCTTTCTCACTCAGACTATTGTGTTAGCATCATCCTCACCATTATTACTTTTGTCTTTTCAGTTCATTTCTGTATCACAAGCTGAGATATCTTGTAGAATTCAAATTAGCACATGTCATCCCTAACTAAAATCTTTCAGTGATTTTCATCATTTCAAATCCCACATCATTTCTTATAGCCTAAGATGTCATAAATACTTGATTCTTTTGCCAGTCCAACCCATAAGTCATTGTGCCTTGGTGATAGTGGCTTCAGTTCAGTTGCTTGAATATGGCAACACTCTTTCTTGTCTGGGAGTCTTTGCATATGTTGTTTCTTTTTCTGGAAATACCTGTTATTTCCCAATTCTTTGCTTAGCTGATACCTGATATCTTTGTTTATTCTCATACCTGCTTAAATGTTACTCACAGTGGCTTCCCTAATCACCTGCCTCCTGTTCTGAATAATCTATTATTTTATCCTGTGCTTTATGCTCAAAATCTTTATCATGGAATTTTTGTATTTATTTATAGCTACTTATTATTTTTCTGTGTTTTCATTTAATCTGTAGCCAGCTAAAATAGAATCTGTGTGATGAGGAGTGTGTATCATCTTGCTGATAATACGATCTTAGAAAATATTCACAACTGAATTAATCAGTGAATAGAAATTCAGGAAAAACATATATTGATCCGGATTTAGCTTAGGGGGTTCCCCTGTTCTGCCATGTAACAGTGCTTAGTCTTGAAGTCAGATGAAAAGAGGTGGGAGGGTAATAATAGCATCATGTACAAAGGTCCAGAAACAGGAGGAAATATGATTTAGGAGAGGGTCTCCAAGTTTTAGTGTCTTAGTATCCCTGTATAGAAATTTAGACTGCAGAGTTTAAAAATATTTAATTCTCTTAAAAATAACAAAAACCTACATATGAATCTAATATAGCTTTTATGAAAAATAGCTTAATTTTAAAATGAAAAATGTGACAAGAATGATATTTTACATCTTTTAAATCCCTGTAACGTTTGACTTAAAGACAATAGCTAGGTTCTCATAACTACTTCATTCCGTCTGTTGCAGTATGTTGCATTAGTTGAAGTCCATGAAGAAAATCTAATCTCTCACAGATAATGGAAGTGGTTGAAAAAGATAATGATGGGTATTCTTCTTTGATATTAAAGCTTAACGTGTTAGTTGCAATGTCAAATCAGAAAACTTGTTAATGAACTTTTGTAACTTGTTACATTTAAACCCACTTTTCTGTTTTTCAATTTGACTAAATCTGTTACCTATATATGATTCTATAACATCATGCATTGGTCATTTGGAAAATATCGGCATATTCAGTTGGACAGATTTTCCAAATGGTGTCACGGTCCATTACATAGTATCAAAAGTCATGTTCGCTATGCCCATCAGTAAACTCATCAGGTAAATCTTTGAGTATAGGGAAGCTGTTAAAGAGGCAGATGCAAATTATACAAAATTCTAAATTTTTGCTTGGAAGCTTGAATGTTACCATTGGCAGTATGTACTTCCATTTGTTTCCTTTGAAGTGACAGATTCATTTTATTTTTGAGAAAATGTCAGCTAAATACTCAAGCACAAAAAAACATAGTTATTAAAGGGTGTATATTAATACACCCTTACTCAGGGTAATAATATAGCTATGAAGAGCCCAGGTCTTTCTGATTGTTATATTGTATCACCCCATGTCTAAATTATTTGGGACTTGCCAAAGCATGTTCTTACAATAGTGTATCATGGTATTTTTCCTAGAGAGCATGAATGGTTTAAACAAGATTTGCCCAGTTACTTATTTCCTGAAGATCCCTCCTATGATGCAAACGTCATTGATGATGAGGCTGTGAAAGAAGTGTGTGAAAAATTTGAGTGTACAGAATCGGAAGTAATGAACAGTTTATATAGTGGTGACCCTCAAGACCAGCTTGCAGTGGCTTATCATCTTATCATTGACAATCGGAGAATAATGAACCAAGCCAGTGAGTTCTACCTCGCTTCTAGTCCTCCAACTGGTTCTTTTATGGATGATAGTGCCATGCATATTCCCCCAGGTCTGAAACCTCATCCAGAAAGGATGCCACCTCTTATAGCAGATAGCCCTAAAGCAAGATGTCCATTGGATGCACTGAATACAACTAAGCCCAAATCTTTAGCGGTGAAAAAAGCCAAGTGGCACCTTGGAATCCGAAGTCAGAGCAAACCATATGACATTATGGCTGAGGTTTACCGAGCTATGAAGCAACTGGATTTTGAATGGAAGGTAGGAAATTATAGTATATTTTTAGAAGCCATTTGTTTGGATAGTAAGCTATTCTGCATTGCTGTATTGAGCAGTGAGTTCAACGAAAATGTTTATTTTGATTTAGGTATAAATTTAGTGGTCTGGATATCTAGTTGATAAACTTCACTCTTTCCATGTGCATTCAAAACCACACATACATCTGTAAGGATGAAGAGCTGTTGATGTTCATATTTTTGAATTAGATAACAGCATTTTAGCTGAGAAACAAAAAACAAACAACTTAAAATCTGAGCAAATGGCCCACCTGTTTTTTTTTCCCAAAGATTTTATTTATTTATACAAGCACTGGGTACAGTCAGAAGCGTGGGAGGGTGAGAGAATTCACCAGAGCCAGAGCGGGGAGCAGAACATGCAGAAGGACCGAAGTACCACTGCTGAGGGGAGCAGCGGGCGGCAGGAGAGGACTGCGCGCCATGTGGGACCCTTGCCCAGCGGCCCGGGATCAAACAGGCGCTGCGGAGGCTGCAGGCAGCTTCGCAGCCCAGCGCTCAACCTCAACCGCTGCGCCAACAGGGAGAGGCCCACCTGTTTGAAGGGAGATTTTCTCTTCCTCTTCCTCCTCTCCTTTCTCCTCCCTTTCCTATACCCCTGCTCTCTCCCCCTTCCCTTCCTCTCTCTACCTCTCTCCCCTCTCTACTTTTCTTTTTTCTCATAGCTGTGGCAGCTACTCTGGTCAGTGCAAATTATACCACCAGGACATATTTATTCAGGCCACAAATACTTTTCTGTAAATTGATAAAATCTCTAATTTGGCTGATGCTTTAAATCCTTAGTTGTGGTATTTTTTTCTTTCAGTCTACCTTTTACCTTTATTCATAAGTGCTAAAATTAATTTTCATTTCCTTTTTACATGAAGGTAATAAACAAAGTAAAAATTTTCTCCAAACCATTAAATTATAGAGCTCCCTTTCCTGAAGCAATTTTATTTAATTAGTTTTTAAAAAGAGATGGTAACACTTTTAAGATTCCTTGTTTTGAAAAATTTTTGGAACAGATTTAAAAGCTATTTTGAAAACCCATAATATTCTTTATCTGAACTGTAGTTTTCTTACCTTCAAAAGGCAAATGCTGTGTTCTTCACAGGTACTTAAATTTTGTGACTGTACCTGTTATAGTGCCCTATGGAAAACATTAATATGTTAGTTCCCATATATTCCTTCTATTTCATATTCATAGGTAAAAATATTGAATTGGAGGCTGGGTAACCAGGCCTTATTGATGTTCTAGAGTAGGTGAATATCTAGAATGAAGGCTAGACTGTAACCCCTGAGTTCCCTTTAAATTATAATTCCTTACACAAACAGTACTATGAGTCGGGATTAAATTTAAAACTAAACTACAATGTACTATTGAAAAAAGATCCTTCAGGAATTCCTTCTCTACTTTCCTCAGTAATTATTTGTTATTGATTTTCTTCATAATAGGAATAAGGGGGATACTTGGTAGTTTGATACTTCTAATGTTTTTCTTTAAAGACAATTTCCTGTTCTAGGTAGTAAACGCATACCATCTTCGAGTGAGAAGAAAAAATCCAGTGACTGGCAATTATGTGAAAATGAGCTTACAGCTTTACCTGGTTGACAATAGAAGCTATCTTTTGGACTTTAAAAGCATTGATGGTAAGGAAGCTATGCAGGCAGGATCTCTGAGAAGATAAAACTTGGCACTAGTTGACAAGATATTAAAATCATCTCAAAAACATGGTGGGGTAGGTCTTCTATACTGTTCCCCCCCCCCCATTTAAAGAAATGCATTTTAAAAATGTAAGTGAAATGGAAAGAACCAAAGACATATGGACTCTTAGGCAACACCTCTCCATAAGTGCTACTTTGGCATAAAGAAGTGATTTGAAGTGTTGGCAGTGCAAGCAAAGTAAGGAACAACAGGGAAACAAATTTTGCCTAAACTTACTGATATTGTCAGCTGCTTTGTCACGTTTGTCCATTTGTATTTTATTAGTTAACACTATAATATCTAAACTTCCTCCCTTTGAGAGCATCTCTCATTTATGGTGGCCATGATGACCAGTCAGGGCTCTCCTGACTGGGATTTGGGTGCCTTTGGTTGTTCAGGTTGTTCACACAGAAATCAAGGTGTTTATGTCTGAGTCCTTAGTGTGTGCCAGGAGTGAAACCTGGGTGAATCAAATGTGGTTATTGCATTCGGAGGCCTGGATGAGATAAAAACAAAATAATTCAAGGGTCAGTTGCTGCATGTAGCAAGAGTAGAACCAGCCATGTTCAAAGCTAGGAAGATTGTTTTAACTAGAGCTTTTAAATTTGATTCTTGAACTACAACCAATTATAGCAGTGTTAATACGGTACCAAGACCACCGTCATCAAAATTACCCAGCGTTCTTATTAAAATGCAGGAAACACCCCAGGTCTGTGCAATCAGAGTCTCTGGAGATGAGCTGAATTCTGGAAAACTGGGAACCTGCATTTTAAATGAGATTTCCCTCTGTCTGCACCCTCTTGACCTCCATACAACTTGCAGTCCCTAGGTAATTCTAGTGTGTACCAGAGGTTCAGAACCACTGTGTGATAGTAATGTCTGTTTTTATCCTAATGATTTTTTGTTGATACACTGCAAGAAAATCAACATCCAAGGGTATGTTTTCTTCAGAGGCCAGGACATCAGTTTGATGGAAAGATTAATGCCAAATGCTTTAAGGACTGAGGGGCCACATTTTAACTGTGTGAAGTGTGTGATTAATTAGTGATATCTGTTCCCATTGTGAAAGGAAGAGGTGTTGCCAGGCTGCTCCTAAAACACTGAAATGTGACGCCCTTGGCTAAGTTGCCCCATGTTCTTTCATAGGAAGCAGGAGGGCATACAAACCTTTCCTGTAAATTGCTCTTTTTTGGTTTGTTTCAGATGAGGTGGTGGAGCAGAGGTCGGGTTCCTCTACACCCCAGCGTTCCTGTTCTGCTGCTGGCTTACATAGAGCAAGATCAAGTTTTGATTCTGCAGCTGCAGAGAGCCATTCGCTTTCTGGTTCTCTCACTGGCTCCTTGACTGGAAGCTCTTTGTCTTCAGTTCCACCTCGCCTGGGCAGTCACACCATGGATTTTTTTGAAATGTGTGCCAGTCTGATCACTACTTTAGCTCGTTGACGATCTTTTCCTAATCTCTATTTTTTTGTTACCGCACTGTGAAAATCAGACATATTCTTTAAATTATTATCTTATGGCTGTCACATACTCTGCAATACTGATTGAGAAATGTGAATGTCTCCAGGGGACACTCAGTGCCATTGATGTTACTAAAAACAAAATAGTTTGACACTTCATTTACCTGTAGAAATCTGTAATTCTTTTTGCCTACTATAAATCCACATAAGGCATTATCTTTAGTAGGTGACATTGATGAAGATTGTTTATTTAAAATTGTGAGTTCACTACAGATGATTAATCCACCTTCACTGGTGAATCATCTCAACTGAAGGGTGCTTTGGCAACACCGCCTTGCTTTACTCTTGAATTACAGGTACATTCAGTTGACTTCTCATTTTCAGTAAGCTTTAATCTGTGTTTATGCGTCCAGTTGTCTTGCACAAGAAGGTTAAAAGATAAAGCAACTATTAATAAGATAGTATTTGTATGCTGAAATTTTAAAAGGCTTCTAACAGTTTTTGCAGCTACTACCTAGCACTCGACAGAAGGGCTCTGATCCTGAACTAGGTAGCCCGAATTTCCAGGTTTTTTTGAAAACAGCTGTAAAGAACCCAAGGTTTTATCTTGAAATTTCCCTGGATAATTTATCTTAAGAGCCTTCAAAGTTCAGTATCGGAACATCTAGAACTGCAAGAACATTCATCTTTACCATAAATTTATATCATTTTAAAAGATGCCTTCAAAATCTACTTTCCTTAAATTCTTTTTGACTCTGTTTTTTCACTTCACCAAGCACAGGAAAACATGAAACCAAGCAAATTATCAACCACTCTTTAAAAGAGTACTCTCACGTTTGAGCTCTTATTATGTGCAGTGTTAGGGGAGATAATGTGTCTGTCCTGTTGCATCCTACAATGCTAATTCAGCACCTGAAAGTTTAAGTTTGTTATTGTGGCTACTCTCCCCCAACCCCCACCTTCTCTAGTCACCATTTTCTTTGCTTGGTCCTTAGTGGCTGATTGACTTATTTCAGTCTTTCTCTGTTTCCCTTTCTTTGTTCTATATCTTGGTTGCCAGCCAGCCAATTTGACAATACTGTTCTGGCCCTAAGGGCTTTTGTGTACTTCCAAAACTTGGTAGGCTGTGACCTTCATGTTGAACCTGTTAGGGTAGGGAAGACTTAATTTAAAAAAAAAAACAAAACTCTTGAATAAATACTATGTTGTTTACATATATACATATATGTATTCACACTAGTGCTTTTAATGAAAAGCCAATTTTTTTTTTTTTTTGTTTTTCCTTGTGCAGGCTTTTTTAATTAAAGAAAAAAATCCCTAGAGATAGCAGAGTACATAAAGCTTGTTTATTTTGTTGTTTTAGTGAAAGTATTTAAAATTTATTTAATTTGAATATTTTCATTTGTTTAATATAATTAATTTTATTCATCTGACTTACCCTAGAAAAGACTGAGCTCTTCAAAACAAAAAATGATACTGCCTCGACAAATTTCTCTGCCAGAAATACTGTTTTTTTCTACCAAGAGGCAAATGAGAGTAGAGCAAGTGTTTGTGGAAGATAAACATGTCTATCTTTAATTCTGAATCAGAAGTTTGTAGCATGTCATGTCTACAACTTTAAAAAAATGGTGTTAATTAAATTCTAAGTCTGATTTCTAAGTCGAGATAAAAGGAATCCTTGTTCCCCAATTTGGGAAAGAGTGAGATTGCAGTTAAGATGTTTTAAGTTTAAGCCTTGGAAAGATTGCCATCTAGTGACACCAAAGGGTACTTTCTGGGGCCATTTGTATAGGGATAAATAGTCCTAATGGCACAATTTTGACTTCTTCAAATATGTTGTAAATTCCTCTGTTGAGGGAAAAAATGGTGCCTCATAATAGTTACCTGGTGTGATGACCTTAGAAAGGTCACCTCATAAAATTTGCCTGATACGGTGACCTTAGAAATAAGGAACCAATCTTATTCTTTCTCCCAAATGACAAAATCTACAATCTTACAAGCAGATAAACAGCAGGAAGGAATCCAATGGCATTTTAGCTGTATTGGAGTCCAATAAATGTTAGAAACATCAAAATTGCTTTATATGAATGATCATCATTTTTGGAGGGAGTTAACATTTATTTTTTCATTCCAGTATTTCTGAACATCGACAATTTGAGAGTTACCTGTTGAACTTTAGGAGAACCAAGAGTCACAGTTTTGGTTCCTACATACATATGTTTTTAAAACACAGCTATTCTGTGCATCTAGATGGTGTAGTAAGTTGGTTTATAGAGAGATTTCAGGAGGCCCGGTCCAACATAATAGGGGCTAGAACTTTCATAGAGTTTTTTGTAGCTATTGGTCAGGGAGAGGGAATGAACGTTGCTTGCCCCAGTTACCCACATTTCAGTCTCATAAATGGGTTAATTTTGAGTGTGTTAAGTAGATCTGGGGTAGGAATGACTTCTTCCAGTTATAATTCTGGAGGAGAGCTGCTATCATTAGTTTTTAGATAAAGTCTAAGCTACATCATGGAAATGGATGCCATAGTGTTTGAGGACAGCATTTACTGAACTGTTTCCTGTGAGATGCTTTGCAGAAAAAAAAGATTCCACTGAGTAAGTTTGGAAAAATGTTACATGCTATTCTTCTGCTTGAGTATGGCAATGGATATGAACATTAAAGACTTTGACAAGTCTTTATGTGAAAAAAGTAAAATATTTTACTTTAACTCTGCTTTCCCCAATTTTTAAAACTAACTTTAAAACTTATTTTCTTAAGAGATGAAGCAAATTTGGGAAAGACTTAAGGAAAAAATTTGCCCCAGGTTTTCATAATTAAGATAGTTTAAAATTAAGGCTTCCTTTCCTTGTTGAAGAAACTGGTTCAAAATCAGAATAATCTCTTTTTAACATGTGGATATATTCATCTTGAGCAAATGCTGACCTAAAAAGAATTTCATATGACTTGTTCCATTGTACCTTGGTTTTCTTAATCAGTTTGTGGTATTGCTTGGAGCAAAATTTATTTTTGAACTTGAAAAACCTTAAACAAGATTACTTATAAAAAGAGCTAAGAGATTAGCACTGATGCTTATGACTTTCTGGGTAATGATTCAGTATCATTGATTCTTTGAAAATGTATAGTTTTTAAAATACTTTATACAGGACACCAGTTTAGATCTAATTCTTACTGTCTTTAATGTAGGTCAAATTGAATATATAGGGAGGGAGAGAAGCAGGCTAACTGTTTTGAGTTTTTGTTTTGATCATCTCTTAAGAGACACTTTTGTAACCTCCAGGATTTGTATGCCTTGATACTAACCATCTGTTAAGAGAATCGGGAGCTGAGATTAGTAAAAAATAATAGTATTTCTGCATCAGGTAATTGGCTACATAGAATGCAGACAATTCTCTATTTTCTGCAAATATGTTTTCCATGTTGGTTACATGATTCTGAGCTTGCTTTCTCTTTCTTGACAGTTTGTGCTCAGGGAATACAAATTGATTATTAGTAGCCTCTGTTAACACTATATACTGAGTTAATGTAAGCACTGCATCTTCCACTTACAAAATGTGAAAGTTTGGAATGTGCCTACCACTGACACTGCAGCATGTCTCATTTGAGTCCTATTCATAGGTGTGAAGCCTCAGTACCTAAATGCGAGACATCTCAGTTTTGTCTGTTTCTAAAGACTTTCACCTTTTCAATCTGACATTTCTTTAGTTGGTGATCCTGTCTTTCTGTGACTTCTTTAAGGAATGTAATTTATTTTAATTATTCTTAGACATGCTACACTATTGAAAATTCTAGATGTGGGATATGTGCAATCTATTAGTCGGTCACATCCTCTATTGGGCCTTGTTTTTGTCTCTGACGTGGGAAAGATAGCATAAAAGATCTCTGAGGTACCTTTGAGCTTTAAAGTTCTGTCTTCTCTGTCTTTTCATATGACTTGTTTTAGTGTTCCCTTTTTTATATTTAAGAGTTTTTATACCAATGTGAATGTCCTAAATTTGTTTGGTGAGGCATTTTGAAGGTATATACTTGAATATTTTTCTAAGTACAGCTGCCCTCTGTAAATACAAATGGCAGAAATCATCTAGAAAATCAAGCATGTTAAAACATCATGTGAACTTCGCATAAAGCAAAACAATACTAATCTGGAGTGATGGAAGCATTTTTTGCACTTATATGGTGATTTTGAGATCTACAGACCCTTCATGTCTATTAACTTATTTAATACCTTACAGTAACCTTGTGAAGTTCCCATCTTCCGGATGAGGAAGCAGGACCAGGAAAGTGCTTCTTAAAGCTTTTATGCCACACAGGTATTCAGAGGTGAACTCTGCTCTTGCCACCCTCCTCTGGGGAGAACAGTCTGAATCAATGAAATATTTGAGAACTTGAGTCATAAAAATAAACAGATATATTGCTTTTAAGTCTTAGAATGACATAATGTAGTCTTAACTGAATAATTTCTTAGTTTCATTATTGGAACCAGTTGATTGTACTAACTAGTAATTATCTGAAGTATTTATGATTAGCACATTGATTTTTACAAGTACTTCTATGTTATTGAGGGTTTTTAAAAAAATGAAGAAATGTTAGGATGTGATTCTTTTATTTACATAATTCTTAGAGTGTAATCTTTTTTAAAAAGTAAAACTAGCCCCAGCCTGTCTTAAATTATTCTAATTTTTGACTATTACCTAAATTAGGGTTATCTAAATTTCACATACAGATTGGTAATTTTTTTCACTTTGTATGCGTATTAGATGATAAAACAGTATTTTCATAGAGTGTATTTCTATCATGAACTACCTATTGTAATGGGCTTGATAGAGAATCTCCAAAACCTTATAAAACTTTGAAATGTAACTTGTTTGATAAGCTTTAAAAATTATATAAATCTTCTTTAAACAAGTTGCTGGAATCCTTACTAGCCTTTCCTACATATAATTGTAATGCATTTGATGACACTGAACAGTAATAGCATAGAGATCAAGACCCACAGTCTAGACTGGATTGAGTTTTAATTAAACTTTTCCAGCCATAACCTGATAAGAATCAGACTGGGTCTAGAAGTTATTAGACTGTGGTCCTGTATTAATTTTGTGAGCCAGTGTTAATGTTTACTGCCAGTCTTGCATAGCAATGCCAGTTTGTGGCTGTGACTATGTATGTGATTTTTGGTAACTATATCTAAAGCAGTTTAGTTATGGAAGTACTTATGATTATTTGGACAAGCAGGGTAGGTAAATTTGGTTACATTTAAAGTGCAATTAAGTGTCGAGCACTCTTTCCAGGAAAAAAAAAAGTATTTGTAGAATATATTAGCGTGAAAACGTTTGAACATTTATAGAATTTTGACAAGTTTCATTCAGAGTGTGTGTGTGTGTATGTGTGTGTGTGTGTGTGTGTTTAATGCATGGTTGGCTACTTTGCGTTACTTTAAATTTTCACGGAGGACCAGGAACATTAGATTTAGCCAAGGAGAATTGCATTTAATTTTTTCCTGCTAACTTAAGCAAACATTTTTCACAGTTATAAGCCCCTTTGAAGTAAGTTTTGTTACAAAGAAAGGCCATTTATCTAGACAGATACAATTTTCCTAAAATGGCCAGGAGAAACAGGTTCCCAGTTCTAGCAAAGACACCTGAATTGTGCCTTCTCTCTTAAATTGTAGGAACAGTAATAATTAGGCAAAAACTTATTTGAACTATATTTTCTTTTTTTCCCCTCTCATTTCTCCTTAGCTCTGCCCTCCATAATTGATCAACATCGTTTGTTTTTACCTGTTTGTTTTTAGGTCTCTTTGGCTACACCTCACCCTATCACTATCAGAAGTTGTTGAGTATTTTTTGTTGTTGTTGCTTCACTTTTTAAGTCACCTTGGTAAGAGTTTGGCTGCCTTCTCATGTTTTTAAAATTAATGCAATGAATGGCAATCTTTTTATTTCATCCCTTTAACAGATTTGTAATGGAAAGAATGCAAAGAACAAAATCCAGTTTGGAACCTGATTCTCATTTTGGCTGCTGTGACAACAGCAAGTCACATAACTTCACTTTTTTTTCTCATGTACAAAATGTGTATATTAACCTACCTCACAGATATGTGTGAGAAATTGTTTCAAGGCCCTTGTTTAAATATAGGATTTACCATCCTCATTTAATAAAAATGCATTTAATATAAATTCCCTCCCCTTTTTTAGATATCTTTGATACTGATAGGTTGAGTATCTTGATTTTAGGTAAGTCTTATGTGCTGAGAATATAATGGTAAAAATGTTTCAAAACACAGTTACACAAATTATATTATTTTAAGTGATTTAAAATTTCCTGTAAACAGTGAATATTTAAATACCAGATTTTCTTGTTCTAACAGTTATCTAGAACTTCTTAAAATGTTGGCTGAAACTGCCTTAATGTACCAAAATACAGTGCTTTCTTAAGACTGTTCACAAATATATGTGGTTGTACAATGTTTTGTGTTACTTTAAAATTGAGTGTTAAATGTAAAATTCGTACAAAACTGTGAACTCTAAGTAAAGTAATCTTGATTTGTTTTAGGAAGGATACTCATGTTCTTTCTTATGTATGCCTAAATATTACACAATGAATTTTGAGTATAACAAAAAAAAACCCTGAAAGTTGACGACTAGTAGGTTATGTCCATGATAAAATAAGATTGGATGTTATTCAAATTTTCTCAAGAATATTCTATGTTTATTTTTTCTTAACCTGTATTTGAAAAAGAAAAGAATTCCCATAGGCTAATACATTCAATAGCTATATAATTAAGTATTTAATTGTATATGTATTTAAACATTGTTTTCAAAATGTTGAAATTGGGATCACTTTCTATGTTCATACAAACAAGAAGGAATAAAAGACCACACTCCCGGTGCTTTGTGTTTTAATAACCATAAATTCAAATTTCAGTTTTATTTGTCATGTATTTTTCATTTTAAAATTCAGTGGTCAGGTCTTATAGTAATGGTGTGGTAAAAAGGTCTTCTTGAATTACAGTATTTCATAGTTATAGCTTCTCCTTCATTAATATTTGCACCATACAAAATGCATAGGTAACAATCACAAGAGAAAAGCAGCCTGTCTGATTTGTTTATAAGCTTTTTTCACAAAATCAAATTAAAGACTTTGTTTAATTTGAATTGTTTCCGTTTTGTTATTCAGCTAATATTCTGCATGTCAGTAGTTACAGAGAAAGCTATTATAGAAAATATTTGCCTGTACATTTTTTTAGATTTCAACCATTTCTATCTTTGTTGTACACTATAGTTTCTCCTTTTAGTCACTGTGTTAGTTTTCTGTTGCTACTATAACAAATTGCCACAAACTTAGTGACTTAAACAGCACAATCTGATTATCTTACAGTTCTGTAAGTCAGGAGTTCAGTGGTGGGCTCACTGGTGTTGCTGCTTCAAGTCACACGAGGCTGAAAACCAAAGCATTGGGAAGACTGGTCTGGGAGATTCTGTTCCACGTTCAGCAGGTTGTTGGCAGGATTCAGTTGTGTGCTGCTGTGGGATTAAAGTTCTGTTTATTTATTTATTTATTTTGACTGTTGGCTAAGGGTCATTTGCTGCTTCTAGGGACCACCAGCTTCTCTGGCCCACAGCTCCTCTACTCTTCAGAGCCACCTGAGGGTAACAATCACAACAAGAAAAGCAGCTTGCTTTTCTTGCCTCCACCTTACTACATCTCTCTGATTAGCTGGCTCTTCTGCCTCCCTCTTCTGACTTCAAGGTCCTATGAGATTACATTGGGTTCATCTGGATAACCTCCATATTTTAAGGTCAACTGGTTAGCAACCTTAATTTTATCTGTAAAATGTCTTTTGCCAATTTACATTATTACATTTACAGGAATAACAAAGGGGCATGAAGATTTTAGAGGTCAAGATTCTCCTTACTACAATCAGAATAGAAAGGGAAGGTAAGAAGACCTCAGGCTAAAAATAGAATTTTATATTAAAGTCTGAGAATACAGGATCAGCAGTGTAGATTCGATCTTATGAATTTATAATGGTCACCTTTCATGCAACTTTTTGAAAAATACCGTATTCTAGCCCTCATTAAAAACGTCAAAGTCAAGATACATTAATAAGGATCTCAATTTGATTTATTTAATGTTTAAAGAATGTATTTGCTATTAGTGAATGTTTTTCCTTTATTTTTTAAATTATGTGGGTAATGGATACTTAATGTAGGAATTCATAAAAATACAGGAAGCTTGAAGAAGCTGAAAAAGAAATCCTAGCCCTGTCACCAGAAACAACCATTTCTTAAGGAATTTATCATTATATATATATTTTTTTTTCCTCTCCCTGTTCTTCCCCTTTAGAGTCTCTGTGTTAAAAGTTCTGAAGATGTGTAGGAGAAGGCCCGACTGAGAGAATATTGTGTCATCTTGGAAGACCAAGTATTTCACAGAGGTGCTGCTAGGAGGTAGGGAAGGTTTCTTGGTGTACGTTAACAGGTTGTGGGAGGCCTGGACTGTAAATGAATTTGACTTGGCTGCTGTTAACTTTTGTTAGGGTTAAGTAGTTTTGGATACTATCTTTTATCTGATAGAATGTTTTTATGTTTACTGATCTCTTTATGCAAAATTACAAGTAAAATGGAATCTCAGTCTTTCCATGGAAACTTTATGCTAGATCAAGGGTTTCTTGAGGATATGACATCTGCTTGGGACATCATCACTGAAGTCTCACACTGTGTACTTTAAGCAATCTTGCAGATCAATAGCATGACAAATTTACCTTGAATGCTGCTGTGACTTAAAGAATGGAAGAAACATGACTGATATCAGTGAAAGAGAAATATAGCCACATTGAGTATAGATAGATTTGTCAGAGGCAGCTACTATTCCTGCAGAACAGACCATATCTATAAATAGTAACTGGGTGCTAGTTTGTATTAGACTAAAGGGTTTATACTTTAAAAATAGAAAAATGTTCAGTTTCAAAATCTTATTAAATATTTTTATGTAAAACTAATTACAGCCCAGCCATTCTTTTAAGTATTAGAATTTGAACATTTTGCATTTTGTTTTTCATATATTGCAAGTTCAGAAAAGGCCATGTATTAAAATTTTTAGCAGTGTACTACTGTCATGTAGTAAGGGTGTTATTAACCCTGTTTTACTGATGTAGAAATTGAGACTCATTTGTTACTGAACTGGAACAGGAGGCCTGCAATGACATGGTAAGTGCACAGGACAAACCTATCTCAATTCAAATGTACTTTCCCTACCAATTTAGGATTTAAAATATTTTATGTTTTGGTGAAGTGGTAAGAGTGTTATATAGTTTGTGATTCTCTGTTAGAATTGTTGCATGAAAGATCTTTCACCATAGTCAATTACCTCTTTGCCCACAGTCCAGACTCATTCCTGTCTTCTGCAGTGGCCATTGCATAATTTTTACTTTGGAGTGTGGGAGAGGGCTACAGTCACTTGATTACCCTTCCTCTCATTGAGTAGTAATTTAATTCAGGGGGGTGGGGGCAAGGAAGAAACATATTTCCAGTCTTAATCTCACCTCCTAAAAAAGAAATGAATCATTCCTTAACTCTCTTTCATCTCTACCTTTAGTCAGTCACCAGGACGTTTTGTTTCCTGACTGCTGTGATACCTTTAATGGGCGCCCTGTACTGTATATTTCAGTTGCTGTCTTAAAATTCGTTTCTCTTCTCTAATGTATCACCCACATCGTTGTGGCTTGTTTTCTCTGTAAACATCTGCATTGCCTTTCTGCTTACTAACTCTGACTCCTTGCTTCCCACAACTTCTCTCCTAGCAGCTCTTCCCATGCTGCCTTCGACTTGCCCTCCATATCTTCATAGTTGTTAAATATAGCTTAGATTTTCTAGCTGTTTTTCTCATCTAACAAATATACTGTATATTTATGTCACTTTGTAAAATTGTTTCATATGTTAATAATCTCTATCTTTTCCCATTTCTATAAGTACTTTTGATTTTTCTACACTAAGTTTGGCCTTTATTGCAAGTGCCATTTGGAGCATGGGAAAAAAGAGGCAAATCTGAAGATATATTTATTTGAAGCTGCTTATTTTATCTTTTTGAGCAGGCAGTGTACATCATTTAAAAAATAGAATATTATTTACAAATCAGCTTTAAAATAATTATATTTGGACAATAGGATGTTTTCAGTGTTATAGCATCCAATTTAACTATTTCTTGAAATGATAAAGACCAAGTTGCAATTATTTTAAGATTATACTTATAATTTGAGTATTTAAAATACCTTGGTTACACTATTTACTTTTCATAATTTAATAACACCCAATTTAAAGGCACAACATTGAGAAATTACAGACACTGTTGTACCAGTATTAGACGCAAGCCAACCATCTGCACAGCTGACTAGCTGCCATAGGCATGGCTTCTAACTTCAGACATGGCTCATTAAACAAGTGCTCAAATGCTGGCACAGAGTTTCACATGCTCTTGGGCCAGCAGCGAAAGATATTAAAGCAGACATTGAAAGATAACCATTTAGGAGTAAAACCAACATCTAAATGTGGAGGGTTTTTTTTCTTTTCCATTCCTAACAAGTTTACATGTCAGCCACACGAGTGCTCACTTGTGCAGCCCATACGGTCTTATCTTGATCCTCTATGGTGACCAGCCTTGATGCCTGAGAGAAAGAAAATAGACATACATTTTGAAATCTGTAGGCCTGAGGAGTCATGAATAGTCTTAGGGATTTCTTACTCCAGTTTGATATTTCTATGCTCCTTAATTTTTTTTTTATTTTCTATATACTTTACATCATTTTCCTTTTTTCACAATGTATGCTTTCTCCTCTCAGGTGTAGTCCTCGTAAAATTCCCACCACCAATTTACCCATGCACCATCACCATAGTCCCTTGTGCTGTTTTTTAATTATTATTATTATTTTAATTTTATATATTTTTTACATCATTTTTCATTTTTACACAATGTATGCATTTTCATCTTGGTTATAGTCCCCATACAATTCCCACCCCCCCTTGTTTTGATCCTACTTCCTCCTCCCCCCCACCCCCCGTGTCTGGTTTAGAGTTGCTTGTTGATTTTGATTTTAAGTTTTTATAATTATAGTCTTTTTCCTGGTCCCTGATTTAGGTTTTCTAAATTACTGCTATGAGTGAGACCATCCGATATTTTTCTTTCTCTTTCTGGCTTATTTCGCTGAGCATGATCCCTTATAGCTCCATCCATGTTGCTGCAAATGGTATGAGTTTATCTTTTTTGATTGCTGAGTGATATTCCATTGTGTATATGTACCACATCTTCTAGATCCAGTCATCTATTTTGGGGCATTTGGGTTGTTTCCATAGCTTAGCTATTGTAAATAGTGCTGCTATAAACATAGGGGTGGAAGTGCCCTTTTGAATTAATGTTTCTGTGTCCTTTGGGTAGGTAAATACCTAGGAGTGGAATTGCTGGATCATATAGAAGCTCCATCTTTAGCAGGTTGAGGAATCTCCACACAGCTTTCCATAATGGTTGGACCAGTTTGCACTCCCACCAGCAGTGCAGGAGAGTTCCTTTTTCTCCACATCCTCGCCAACACTTGTTTTTGCTAGTTCTATAATATATGTGCCATTCTTACTAGTATAAGATGGTATCTCATTGTAATTTTGATTTGCATTTCCCTGATTACAAGTGATGTGGAACATTTTTTCATATGCGTATTGGCCATTTGCATTTCTCCTTTGCAGAAGTTTCTTTTTAGCTCTTCTGCCCCTTTTTTGACTGGATTATTTACTTTGTTTTTGTTGAGTCTCATCAGCTCTTTGTAGATTTTTGTTATCAGTCCTTTATCATTAGTGTTGTGTGCAAAAATTTTCTCCCAATCGGTGGGGTTTCTCTTTATTTTGGTCACTGTCTCTTTTGCTGTACAGAAGCTCTTTAATTTGTCGTTTATCTTTTCCTTCACTATCACTGCTTTGGGTGATGTGTCTTTAAAGATATTACTGAGGTGTATGTCACGTAGTGTTTCACCTGTATTTCCTTCTATATATTTTATGGCTTCAGGTCTTATATCTAGTTCTTTAATCCATTTTGAGTTGGTTTTTGTGCATGGTGTCAGGTAGTAGTCAAGCTTCATTCTTTTGCATGTAGCGACCCAGTTTTCCAGCACTATTTATTGAATAAACTTCCTTTGCTCCATTGATATTCTTTGCTCCTTTGTCAAAGATTTGTTGACCATAAATCCGTGGGTTTATTTCTGGGTTTTCTGTTTGGTTCCATTGATCCATGTGTCTGTTCTTGTTCCAGTATCATACACTTTTGATTATTATGGCTTTGTAGTATAGTTTGAAGTCTGGGAGTGTGATACCTACATTCCCTTCCTTTTTTTTTTTTCAGGAGAGCTTTGGCTATTCAGGGTTTTTGGTGGCTCCATATGAATTTCATCAATATTTGTTCTGTTTCTTTGAAGAATGTCATTGAAATTTTTATTGGAATGTCATTGAAATTTTTATTGGAATAGCATCTATAAATTGCTTTTGGTAGGATGGCCATTTTGGTAGTTAATTCTTCCAACCCATGAGCAGGGGATGTCTTTCCATTTCTTTGTGTCGTCTTCTATTTCTTTTTCTTTTTAAGATTTATTTATTTATTTATACAAGCCATGGGTACAGTCAGAAGTGTGGGAGGGTGAGAGAATTCACCAGAGCCAGAGCAGGGAGCAGAACAGGCAGACTGTCAAAATACACTACTGAGGGGAGCAGCGGGCACGGCAGGAGAGGTCTGCACGCCATGTGGGACCCTAGCGGGCAGGCAAGGGTTGAAACGGCGCTGCAGAGGCTGCCGGCAGCTTCATAGCCCAGCCCTCAACCACTGTACCACCAGGGAGGCCCATCTTCTGTTTCTTTTAATAGTGTTTTACAGTTTTCTTTGTATAGGTCCTTTACCTCTTCTGTTAGGTTTAGTCCCAAATATTTGATTTTTTGGTTTCAATGATAAACGGGATGATTTTTCTTGATTTCTTCTTCAGATTTATTGTTTGTGTACAGGAAGGCTACTGATTTTTGTGTGTTGATTTTTGTATCCTGCTACTTTACTAAACTGATTAGTTTGATTAGTTTTTCTGTGGAGGTTTTGGGGTTCTCTATATCATCTGTGAATAGTGATAATTTAACTTCTTCCTTCCCTATTTGGATTCCTTGTATGTCTTTCTCTTATTGCTCTTGCTAGGACTTCCAGTATTATATTGAAAAGCAGTGGTGAGAGTGGACATCCTTGTCTTGTTCCAGATCTTTTTTTTTTAAGATTTATTTATTTATACAAGCACTGGGTACAGTCAGAAGCGCGGGAGGGTGAGAGAATTCACCAGAGACAGAGCGGAGAGCAGAACAGGCAGACTGACGAAGTACACTGCTGAGGGGGAGCAGCAGGCGGCAGGAGAGGTCTGTGTGCCATGTGGGACCCTCGCCCGGTGACCGGGGATCGAACCGGCGCTGCAGAGGCTGCAGGCAGCTTCGCAACCCAGTGCTCAACTGCTGTGCCACTGGGGAGGCCCTTGTTCCAGATCTTAATGGAAATGCTTTTAACTTTTCACCATTGAGAATGATATTGGCTATAGGCTTATCATATATGGCCTTTATGATGCTGAGGTATGTTCCTTGTATCCAGAGAATTTCAAGGGCCTTTATCATAAATGGATATTGTACTTTGTTGAAAGCTTTCTCAGCATCTATTCATATTATCATATGGTTTTTATATTTCTTTTTGCTGACATGTTGGATTACATTGATTGATTTTTGGATGTTGAATCATCCTTGTGTCCCTGGAATAAATCCTACTTGGTCGTGGTGAATTATCTTATGGATACATTGTTGGATTCTTTTACCTAAAATTTTATTGAGGATTTTTGCATCGGTGTTCATTAGAGAGATTGGCCTGTAGTTT